TATATATATACTCATCATGGGCTGACCCAGTGAATAGAGATGAGGAGATGGAAGGAAGGGGCAGGCAAGCTTTGGTACTGAGGGAGGGCTCATTCACACCATTTCTGCTGAGCTGTGTTTACCTTCATACAAAGGCGCATGTATGGTATGAACAGGCCACAAAAAAAAACAATTGTTTTCTATGTGCCCTGTTCACACCATGCCTGTGTGTTTTTCTTCACACCCCCATGTATGGTGTGAACAGGGCACATATGGAAACTTTTTTAAGTGCCCTGTTCACACCATACATGTACCTTGGTGTGCAAAAACATGCAGATCAACAGACATGATGTGAAAAACCCTGAAGTGTCAGAGTTTTGACTGTCAGAACAGCTTACTAATGTATTAACAATATCTGCAGGGGCTTTGAATCTGCTTCAGGAACCTGCAACATTTTTCGTTTTTTCATTTTTGTTCTAAAGACAGAATCTCTTTCTCTTATGATGCTTCCATACTTTAAGGTCCTCATGCTTCCATGGTTAGAGACACAGCTGCAATAAACTTGAAGATTCATGTCACTGGTCTGTAGAGTGGATCTTGAAGAGAAATGTATGATCAAGAAGTCATGGCTTGAGCCTTGTCATAGCTATAATTTATGAAATCCCTGTATCAACACCCTGGCTATAAAGTTACCTATGAATGATTTCAGCTGCATGTCTCTAGAGTCATATATTGCATATATATTATATACAAATATATTTTCTGTTTAATAGATTGCTAAAAATGGATAAAACAGTCCCATCTATGGAAGACAATAAAAAGTTCCTAGTTTTGGGGACAAGCAGAATATAAATTTTTCTCTACGGTTAAGTAATTACACAGTATAATTGCTTAATCCCTTTCCTGCGCTGGAAATGGATTGGTATCTGAAGTGTTTAATCATGTGCGCGGCACTTATTCTTGTTCTGTTGTCATTTGCAGCAGTGCTGAAACCGACGATGAACCACCATGCGAAGAAGAGATTGATTACAATACGGATAGCTGTTCTGATGAGGAAATCTCTGAGTTGGACACCAATACAGAAGACAGCCTGAAAGAAGAAAAGCATGGTGCAGGAAACAAGCTGAAATTAGAGAATAAAGAAGATGCAATTTCCTCAAATTTCAATTGTTCCACAAGGAAATCTCTCACAATTGCATCCAAACAACATGGCTGCTCACCAGAGGTTGCCTGCCCTCTCAGTGAGCAGAACTGTGATCACTCCAGCAATACACAAATGGGACACCACTATCTTTATTAACATGTACATAGATGTAAACGAGTTCTCTGCTGATATGCAATTTCGGGATCCTGTAGAAAATATACTAACCCTTTTATGTAATACACAAACATTTGCACTACAGTGATACAGTAATCAGGAACATACATATAGTGCCAAAAGGGAGACTTTACTTCCATTGCTGACCTACTTAAAAAAGATGCTTGTTGTCTGATAGTCTCCGGCTTCAACTGTAAACTTCTGTACTTTGAGTCATTGTCCTGGTATAAGCAAGTGGGATTGTTCTGATTACTTAATTATAATGTTGTTCCAGGTCAAAGACTCGGCAAGCACTGAAGCCGGAAACAGACAAGCAATTAGCTTTTTTTTCAGAATGACAGCCTCCTATTGTCACTCAGTACACGATTATTTTAAAGTAAAACAACACGCTTGCCATATACCCCATAACTCATATACTCAGTCTTCACTTCCTTGCCACTCTGTTAAGCACTGGGAGCCAAAGGAAATATCCTGTACCCCTAGGGGTAGAGGGGCATGTGACAGGTAGTCAGTAGTAAAGCAAACTAAACCTTGTGTGGGCAAAACACAAGTTCATTTCAAGTGTCCTTATTTGTACTTTGTACTTAGATGAAATAGCCAGTAGTAGAAATATGATTGGCTATATGGTCGCCACTTTTATATTTCCTCACCCTAGTCTCCAAAAATAAGGTTAGCTGAGTCAATAAACTAGTGCAAAGAGTAAAACTAAAGTGCAGAAACCTGTAGCAATCGATCAGATGTCACCTCAATGGAAGATTAATTCTAGCTTGTTGCTGTGAGTAAGCAGACTTTGCTGCTTGCTTTATTGACAAATATATTGATCGTCTATCCAAAAATACACTTGAACTTTTTCTTTAAGGCTGTACAAAGTGTAGAAGGCTATGATAACCAATATGATTTAATTTTATCTAGTCAGTATGAAATTATTACTTGTTTTTGGTTATAGGTTTCTGCAACATGAACATTACACTTTTTAGTCTTTACTGAATTGGATTTATGTTCTTTTTTGCCCACAGTTTACTACTAAATAGTCAGTACATTTTAATGAGTCAGTACAAAAAGCAATGAGGACACTCACCTTCTATTAATCTGGTTACCTAGTCAACTTTCAAATGATTGAAACCAGGTGAGCAAAAAATTAGTTCTTACTGGCATTTTTACAATTATTAAATAGGCCTAAAGGTCTTTGTACCTCTTGATTATTGTTCTGTTCACTTAGATTTAATAAAGGCAGTGTAGGGGTGCAAATGATGTGCAAAGTAGATGTTAGTTATCAAATTTCAGGTATTTAATATAGATTAGTAAAAGCTCAATTATAATGGGTTTGCTAAGTAAACGTTTACATCACCACAGTACTATATAAAAGGAGATCTGTCCCACCCATTGTTGAAGGCTCCTTTGCTCAAATCTTGGGATAAGTTGTTGTATTGAAGCAACCATGTCTTTTTTGTCATGTTGCTCAGGTTTGCTCTTCTCTGGGACTAGCACCACTTAGGGAGTTGGGTAATGGCAGACTGGATGGGAGCCTTGGCTTTACAAGTCAAGGTTTCTTTTTAAGTAAGCCAACTTTTGTATCCACTATTTCAAAACTGACCGTTAGCTATACATACTCATATGTATAGTTAACGGTATAGCTATAAGGATACATACGTTGGCTATACATAGTTAGAAACATCCCCGTTTTTAATCATATAATTTGCACACTTATTAAGTAGACAGACAAAGGGAATTGCCTTATTATATGTAATGTGTGATTTCAGTTTGTAAACTAAACAAGAAAATGTGGAATTCAAGTTAAAAAAATGCTTGTATAGATAAGGAAGGCTTATTGAACTTCTATAAATTTGTTATTGCCATACATAGCCCCACTGGTGATGCCCCCCTCATTTACTGCCCCAGTGACACTGTGGTCACCAGCACAGAAAGTGAAGGAAATGCATTTAATAGGGACACAATAGTAAAACAAAAAACTCAACTTTTTTATGATAAAATGAAGTCTAAAGCCTCTGTCAGCATTCCACTGCAATCTGTGTCATCACTGGAGATTGCAAACTGTCTCCTGCCCCAATGACATTGTTGTAACCAAGATAGCAAATGAGAGGAAATCTCCTAATTATACAGACAACAATCAAAACAGAAGATTAACCCTGTTTTTGTTGGAGTTGCTTGCAATGTATAGATATTACAACAACTAGACTGCAGCTGACATTTTTAGCTTCAATTAGGACATTAAAACCAGCATCTGACCCGGGGGGAATTGGCAACACCTCAATGTTATACTTTTTCTTTGTTTATTAAAACGAACCCAGGCACGATTATTCGTTTTTAGGCTCAGCCAATCAGATTCCTGAAAAAATGTTTTTGTCTTACAGTATGTAGCCAAGTAACTTGTGAAATGTCACTTAAAATGCTGGTTCCTGTTTTACATGGTATGACAATATTAATTGAAGCCAAACTCAATTAAAAACTTTTGTTTATATATTTTATATATTATGTATATATACTGTATATTGTTTTTATATTTGGGAAGAGTGCATACCTTTGTCAAAATTTGTTTGCTACCCATGACCACATTTGGAAGATTTCACCTCAATTCCTATTCCTCTGCCAGTCTTTGACCACAGGACAAGGAGGGGAGTGGTTGTTTTTGGGATAGGAAAACAGTGACAGTAATAATAACCTGACAGAGGTTCTAGAATATGTGTTTGTTACTGTCTATGTTCCTGCTGGAGAGATTTTTCATCCGTTTCCTGATTTGACAGGAAGTCAGGGGGAATCTCTCCAATGGGGTAAGAGACCACAGTAATAACCTGACAGGGGAAACCTTAGGCCCCTTTTACATGATGTTCTGATCAGATCCGCCTATCGTTTTTCAGGTAGACCTGAATGAAAGTGCAAGTTAGTCTATTTGCATCCTTTTACATTCCATTACCTCTGAGTCTGTCTAGGTCTGAAAAAACCCCAAAAAAACAAAAGGATCTTCTTTTTGGCAGACCTAAACGAGATGGATAGATGGATCGGACGTTATTAGATGTCAATGGGCGCATGTCCGCTTTCCTCCGACTGTCCATAGCACAGATCTGTCTAGTGCAGTTTTTTTTTTCCCTCCATTGAAATATGCTAAAAAACACTGAATGGATGCAGATGTCACACATGTGACATCCATTCTATAGTGCTTTGACCAACTGAGAATCTGTGCACAGATCCTCTCCTGATCAGGACGGATGCTGCTCTTGTGAAAGGGGCCTTACTGAGGAAACAGGGAGGCTGTTATTACTGAACATTGACCAAGCTACTTTTCATTTTTTTTTAAAGAAGTCAGCAGAGGTAGTCAATAAATTTACCTCAATACAGGTTTCCTTTAAGCATAGTGGAACAATAGCACGTTTCCTCTTTAAGAATGAAAAAATAACACAAACTACATAATTTTAAGTAAAAGTTCAAAAATATATTTATAGTATTAATAATTGTTTTTCTGTATAGCAATTCATACAATCTACACAACCTGTTAACACATTTCTCAGATGTTTTCTATAGCATTTTGGAAAAGTATAAATTGCTCCCTTGGCAAAACCTTTCATTTTAAATCAATGTATCATCCAGGATTTTGCCATACAGTGTATTTTAAGCATCCTCAGAATGGCTCACAACCAAATTATAACATATTCCAAACTAAAAAGCACTCCTAAAAAGCTGTGAGCTCTGTAAGAGCTGCCCTTGATCCACAGTGCTTAGGCTTGAAAAAAAGAATTCCAACTATAAGAGGTGCTAGACTGAAGGGTTCCTTTGTGCCATCAACCAATTGAGAAACTTTATACTGTATTTTTTTAATTTTACACTGCACAAATTTACTGTGTTTAAGTAATAGTGGAAATGTTTTGTGATTTGTAAAATATGATCTTTTTATTAATTTGTTTGGTATTTTTAGGTCTTTATTTCCTCTTTTTTATTTTATATATAACTATTCATAAAGATATGAAGAGGGATAAGCAAACGTCAAAATATAATAGCAGAAGAATACACTTCAAGAGAGAAATTGTAATGTAAACTGTGTAGAAATTCCTGTGTAGTATTCCTCTATAAACCTATCCCTTTCAAATGTATATTAATCATAAAAATAGATGTGTAGGTTTTGGAAAGTATATTAAAAGTGTGCTTGCTGTGGTCATGTAGTTTATAGTGTTTTTTGTTTCTGACTGGGCTGTACGACATGAAGTAAAACATAACTTTAATAATGCAAAATTTAACATGTTGTAGTTTCCAGTATTATGAAGTATTGTGCAACAAATGCATATGGTGATGAATCTTTAAATCAAGTATGAAAAGGTGTATTAATGAAACGTTCATGAAAAATAATTTACGTGACTATTTTATTTTTACTTTAAAGGGTCTATGGCATTTTTATTGCATATTTATAGTTGTATTACCAGAGGTGCCTTGCACTCTAATTATATATCACACAATTTTAGTTTTTATCAGGGGACTACCCCTGCACTGCAAGTGTTAAGTGCTCACATTGTCTAGGGGGCTCAGATATACTCACCTCACGCTCAGTCCAGCTGGCTGCTAGAACCGCCTGTGCAGTCTCTTCTGCTCTGGGTTCCTGCAGGCTAAGGACTGCTGACATAATTATGTCTAATGCATATCCATTGACTTGTATTAGACATAAGGACACAGAAGAACATTCCATAGTTGCATCAGAGGGAGAGAAAGGTTAGTGCTGACTGCTGCAGGACCGAGGATCAGGTGAGTAAAACTGGTTTATATGAGCTCCTAGAGTAAACAAGCACTTAACCCTTGCAGTGTGTGGCTAGCCCCACTGCAAGAGTTAAGTTTTTAAATTCACTGAGTTGTTCTTTAAAGGTGTTCTGGAAGTGCAATCCTCCATTTCTTTCTTTAATGTATCCCTCTTTAAGGCAAACATGTGCTTTATCCATGCAGGACAAATAAACAGGTTTACTTTAATGGTGTCGTACCACCAG